TGGCGCGTTAATTCATCACAAACTGCGACTGCGTGTCATGATACTGCTACAGTAATAGACGGTTTTATAATTGTTTTTCTGGAGTGTCGGAACAATTGTAGACATGGATGGAAAACGAAAGGCGTTCTCAGGGCGTAAAGGTGGTGCGTCACAACCAAAGCGTCAAAGGTAGCGTGGAAACGAAACGTCGAAAGTCGGAATCAACGACACTAGGCCTAGTGACTCTAGTCTCTAGAGTCTAGACTACACTCGCAGCTAGCGCTCGTAGCTTCTCCCAAAGGCAAAGTGACGCGTCGTCGACCGACCAATCGGAGCGCTCGCAGCTCAGTCACTAAAGCTGATGCGATGTTTTGTGGTTGCATTATTTAAGCTGGCTATCGTGAGTGGATGGTTACTGGTAAGGCCTAAATCAATTATCAATATCAGCTTTAGCCTTTAGTGCCTGAGCTGCGAGCGCTTCAATTGGTCGGTCGACGACGCGTCACTTTGGGAGGTATGCAGGCCCTAGCTGCGTGTCTAGACTACCGTACCACTAGCCTGACCAGGCTGTGTGACTAACGTCGATATTCACAGGTCTTCTAACCCTAGCAAAGAGCGTTCCTTGGAGCTAGACTAATGTACCACTGGGCACTAGATACAATTAATGCAGGTCTCGAAATTCAGAGGTAATCCGCTAATCCGTACCTAAATTACCCTACGGATTAGTTACGGATTACATGAGGAACCCTGAAGGAAATCCGTACGGATTGCTTAAAAATAACTTGCCATTACAATGCTCCTTCCACCTCTGCAATTATCTTTGTCTTAAAATCATTAAATGTACACAGAGCAGACACAGTCTGTGTGGCGAGCCATTATACAGCATTTCAATCAACTATCTGACAAATCTGTACATACAATAAAATGCCGAGCTCCCAACGCTAAAACAGTAATGTTTAAGTTTAAGGTATTTTATTCAGGACAGTTTGTCCTGCATGCAATTTTTTATTTCATAGTAAAATTTAGCCTACCCTGTACGGATTACTTAGATTTTGAGCGGATTTGCTCATTTGTGAAGGAACAAATTCGTACGGATTAGTCCTCAAACTGGGGAAATTCGAGCCCTGTTAATGTACGTACCGGTAACTCAAACACAGGATAGGGTTACAACGCGTCCCTATCCTTTTGTGTGGAGGAGCCCCTGAGTGAATCACTCAGGGCAGTTTGCTGGTGCGTCTTCAGAGACTATAACTTCCAAACTGGGTTTATTCTTAACACGAACCTTTCTTCGCTATCCTGGAACTTACTATGTATCACAATACTTTGTATTAAACTAATATAACGTGTTACAAAAATTCGAAGCGACGTGCGGCGATTTTTCCAGCGCCATTTCTGTTGACCTGTGACGTCCGCATTCCCAATGCGCATAGCGTTCGGCTAACTTTGTCATGACGTCACGACTGACAGCAGGCATCCAATATTGTTACAATCGCGCGCGCAGTGCTAGCAATCGCGAGAATTTCATGATTTAATTCGTGATTTTGCGTGACACAGCTCTGTTTCGAAGTGAGACATAATATTTCTACAACAAGTGAACACTGTACTTCAATTAGCAGCAAAGATGGAGTCGTAAGGTTGAGTATTTGTGTTGAAATCCTGTGAAATCAAGCGAGCGTCGAGCGAATTCCTGGCGCACGCTTTCTCACCTGCTATATATTTATGTGTCAGTGTGCGCGCAATGGCGGCGGCGTGTGTTTACAGTTGATACGCTTCAAGTGCCTGTGGTCTAGACTACCACTAGCCCGACCAGGCTGTGTGACTAACGTCAATATTCACAGGTCTTCTAACCCTAGCAAAGAGCGTTTCTTTGAGCTAGACTACCGTACCACTGGGCACTAGACACAATTAATGCAGGTCTCGAAATTCAGAGGTAATCCGCTAATCCGTAGGGTAAATTACCCTACGGATTAGTTACGGATTACATGATGAGGAACCCTGAAGGAAATCCGTACGGATTGCTTAAAAATAACTTGCCGTTACATTGCTCCTTCCACCTCTGCAATTATCTTTGTCTTAAAATCATTAAATGTACACAGAGCAGACACAGTCTGTGGTGGCGAGCCATTATACAGCATTTCAATCAACTATCTGACAAATCTGTACATACAATAAAATGCCGAGCTTCCAACGCTAAAACAGTAATGTTTAAGTTTAAGGTATTTTATTCAAGACAGTTTGTCCTGCATGCAATTTTTTATTTCATAGTAAAATTTAGCCTACCCTGTATGGATTACTTAGATTTTGAGCAGATTTGCTCATTTGTGAAGGAACACATTTGTACGGATTAGTCCTCAAACTAGGGAAATTCGAGCCCTGTTAATGTACGTACCGGTAACTCAAACACAGGATAGGGTTACAACGCGAGCGTATCCACTTGTGTGGAGGAACCCCTGAGTGAATCACTCAGGGCGGTTTGCTGGTGCGTCTTCAGAGACTATAACTTCCAAACTTTCTTCGCTATCCTGGAACTTACTATGTATCACAATACTTTGTATTAAACTAATATAACGTGTTAAAAAAATTCGAAGCGACGTGCGGCGATTCTTCCAGCGTCATTTCTGTTGACCTGTGACGTACGCATTCCCAATGCGCATAGCGTTCGGCTAACTTTGTCATGACGTCACGACTGACAGCAGGCATCCAATGATACATTCGATCTTGGAGTCGAAGTTAGCCGTTCGCGTTGTAACCCTATCCTGTGTTTGGGTTACATTATTGTATC